GTGGATATGACTCAACATAAGTGACAGCTCAGCGTGACAGTCGGGCCACAACTCGGTGTAACGAGCTCGCTGAAACTCCAGTAGAACAGCTCGCCACAAGACAGCTCACTACAGCTGCAAGGCAGTTCGCTATTGGAGCTCACTACGAGGGAGCTCGCTATTGAGTAACCCGGAGCCTTTGGGAAACTTCTTATTCGACAAGACCGTGCTTTTCAGACTACTCCCACGTCTCTTGTTCGGCGGCGCAGCACCTGCCAATCCAGATGACTGTGCCCATGTCTCATGTCARGCGGCGGCGTCGTACACGTCAGCTCTGCATAACGTCTCTCAGGTGACAGGACCGTACCCTGTGACAGATAGATACCTACGCCAATCAAATCAGCCTGACGAATAACGGCTGTAGCAGAGAATCAAAGGCGGTTACACTCGATTTGGCAGTGCATTAATATATAAGGTCTCCGACCCAAGAGAAAAAAGGTAATTGAATTTTTGGTAATCGAGTAGTGCGCATCTCCACTCTTAGCTCGTCATTACTCTAAGCTTTTCGCTAAGTTCTAACTTAAGCATCGGAGTGTTTGCGCCGGGCGAGCTCCCCGGGAATCCTTCATCTTCTCCTTCTCAGGTGTTCTTCGTTGCAAGATAGGAGTGAGGCCCCTGCCAGCTAGGAGTGACCAGATCGTGCTACATCATTTGGTGTCGTCTGTGGGAACCGCTTCAAAAAAGCCTTCCACCAAAACTTTGCAAACTTCAGCTCTCATGGCTTCCTCCAGCAACGCAGGATGTAGTGTAGAAATGAACACCACCGGGGAGCAACTCCAGGTCCCAACGGTGTGTATTGGACAGTTCACCATCCCACTCTCCGCAGATGAGGTTCCCATTCTGAACGTGCCTTAGACAATGGCACCCGTGAATGCTCCACTCCCTTTCACGGTTGGAAATACCTTCACTGAACCCTCCCTTGTTCCTCCCGTGACCGCCCAAAACCAGCTTGAAGACCTGGTGCAGTGCATGCGAGCCATGCAAGCTCAGAAGCAACAGGTTCAGCAATTTCAACTATATCAGCAGCAAGTGTTGCACCAAGTTTCTCAGCATCACTATCAGTAGCAGTTTCCTCTGCTGCCTCAGACCCAGCAGCCCCTTCCTCCTCAACATCCGGTCGTGCAACAAGTCCGGCCTCACTGTCAGAACGAGCATCCTTCTCACCGGGGAGAGACCACTCAGACCCAGAATCCTCTCAAGAGTCAAGTCTCATCCCACGGGAGGAAGGAGAGACTAGTCACCCCTACCTCGCCGCGCGCAGTCAGGTCGGGAGGGTCCCAGCCTACCATGCCCGCATCACCTCAGATTTTCGAGTTTGTGGCCCCGCTTGTGGAGAACCGGTTCGAGGTCTTGGTTGTAGACTCCAAGCAAGATCCCTCTATCCGTAGCCATCACCAGCAGTTTGTCCCCCTCCCTACGAAAACTGTGCTCGACAATACCGAGGCCAGCAGCACCAATGTGGAGCCCACAAAAAGGCAGCGGAGATGTCGTCGAGCTCTCCGAACTGCAACACACAACCTACCCGAGCTCAAGGGTAAAGAAGAGGTAAGCTCGGGTGAAATAAAAGCCACTCCGCTCCTCTCTGTACCATCCCCTCTATCTCCTGAACTCTTGGTCGTCCCAATGCCCAAGGACTTCAAACTACCTCCCCTGGACAAATATGACGGATCGTTCGACCCGAATGATCACGTAGATACCTTTCAGTCACAGATGCACTTGGCAAGGGCCAGTGAGTCCTGCAAGTGTGTGGCTTTCTCCACCACTTTCAAAGGAGTGGCCCGTACATGGTACAGAAACCTCATGCCCAGATCAATAAGAAGTTGGGCACAATTCGTGCAAGTCTACACTTCTCACCTCATCACCAGCAAGCGGTGCCCGAGGACCCAGGAGAGCCTCCTTGGCATAGTCCAGAGGGAAGGAGAATCTATCCAAAGTTACATCAAGTGGTTCAACAACGCTTGTTTACAGATACCAGACCTGGACCCTGTAGTTCGGCTTACCGCGGCCAAGAGAGACATCACGCACAAAGACTTCAAGTGGCACATGGTTGTTAATCGGCCCAAGAAGGTAATCGAGTTCCTCAAGCTCACGGACCAGTTCATAGGGATAGAGGAGGAAATCAACTAGAAGGGTGAGCAGATCCTTGAAAAAAGAAAAAGAGAAGTCGAGTCCTCGACCCACGGGAACAACAAGAAGAAGAAAGACCCATCTCGGGGGGCAAGGCCAGGTTAGCCTTTCCGAGCTCCACCAGCAGAGAGGACAAACTACATGCCCTTGAACGCGAAGCGGGCCGAGATCCTTATGGCAATCAAGGACACCCCGTATGTGAAGTGGCCACCCCGGCTGAAAGGGGACCCTAATGTAAGGAATAAAAATTTGTATTGTAGTTTCCATAAAGATCACGGTCACAGTACCGAGAGTTGTAAAAACCTCCGCGATGAGATAGAGGAGCTCATCCGTCACAGATACTTAAGAAATTTTGTACAAAATAATAATAATAAAGCAAGTCGGCAAGGGGAGCAAATCAAAGATGCTCCCAAATCCAACAAGCAAGCAGAGCAGTCGCGCAGAGGTGGCCCCCGGAAGAGAGACCAGTTCGGGGGACTATCCATGTAATCGTCGGAGGATCGATCATCGCAGGCTGCACCTCGACTGCAGCTCGAACATTAGCTGGCGAGGTCGAAAGGGAAGACTAGAACCCCCCAAAGTGGCCAAGGACGGAAGACCCGATCTTCTTCACAAAGAACGACGCACGTGGGGTCCACTACCCCCACGATGGACGCAACCTCAGGGCATGAGTTGCTGAGTTTCTTAGACGCCTATGCGGGCTATAACTAGATCAGGATGGACCCTGCTGACGAAGAAAAGACAATCTTCATAACCGAGCTCAGCCTGTACTGCTACAAGGTAATGCCCTTCGGACTGAAAAATGTCAGGGCAACATTCCAAAGACTTGTAAATAAATTATTTAAGCCCTTAATTGGCAGAAAAGTAGAATGTTATGTAGACGACATGGTCGTCAAGACTCAGTTTTCAAATGATTTAATACAGGACTTGCATTCTGTTTTTGAAATTCTGCGAAAGTTCAACATGAAACTAAATTCAAACAAGTATGTCTTCGGTGTCACCTCGGGTAAATTCCTAGGGTACATCGTCAATCAGCGTGGCATTGAGGCCAACCCGGAAAAAATTAAGGTCATCCTAGATATGAGACCACTTCGGAAATTGAAGGAGGTTCAGAGGCTAAATGGCCGCATAGTCGCTCTGAGCCGCTTCATGTCCAAATCAGCAGATCGCTGCCAACCTTTCTTTAAGGCAATTAAAAGAAAAGGCTTTGAATGGACCGAAGAATGCCAGCTCACGTTCGACGAGCTCAAAAAGTACCTCGCCAGCATCCCGGTCTTAACCCGACCCGAGGAGGGTGATGTTTTGGAGTTGTACCTCTCTGCAAGTGACGAGGTGGTCAATTCGATACTAATAAGAGAGGTAGATAGAGTCCAACAACCTATCTACTATGTTAGCAAAGTGTTGTAGGGAGCAGAGACGAGATATCCAGAGATCGAAAAGTTGGCATATGCTCTAATTATTGCAGCTCGGAAGCTTTGCCCATATTTTCAAGCTCGTATTGTCGTCGTCCTCACCAACAAGCCTCTGAGGCAAGTCCTACTCAAGCCCGAGGTCTCTGGTAGGTTGACGAAGTGGGCCATCGAACTCAGCAAGTACGACCTCCAATACAAGCCGCGAACTGCTATCAAGGCCCAAGCTTTAGCCAACTTTGTCGCGGAATGTACTTTCAGCACCGAAGTCCCCAAGTCGGTCGAGCCCTAGGTTCCCAAGTCGGTTGAGCTCGAGCACTGTGAAGTAGCAACCAGTGTGGTTTCTCTCCTAGTTAGATCAAACCCGAGCTGGGATAAGGAGCCCTGGATCCTTCACGTAGATGGCTCGTCCAACCAACAAGGCAGCGGAGCTGGAATCGTTCTGTATGGGCCAAGCGAGGTGAAACTGGAGTATGCACTGCGCTTTGAATTTGCAACGTCCAACAATGAAGAGGAATAGGAGGCGTTACTAGCCGGGTTGGCTCTAGTAAACGAAGTGAAAGCCAAACACATCATCGTTTGCAATGATTCCCAATTTGTGGTCAACCAAGTTACAGGTGAATACGAAGCCCGTGAGCCAACCATGATCGCCTACTTAACTAAAGTAAGAGAGGCTCTACTCAACTTCCAGTCACACTTCATCATGCAAATCCCGAGATCAAAGAACACTGAGGCTGACGCCCTGTCCCGTTTAGCCAGCACTAGTGATAATACCATGAAGATCGTGTACATAGAGAACTTGTCTCGGCCTAGCATTCTCAGGGGGGTAGAGGAGGTCGCTCCTGTCATTCAAGCAGAGTCGAGCTGGATTGATCTGCTCGCGAGCTTCCTACTACATGGGACCCTCCCTACAGATCGCAATGCCACCAAAAGGGTAGAGCATTAGGCAGCCAAATACGTCATAATAGACGAACGACTATACCGAAGATCTTACACGCTCCCCTATCTGCGCTGCTTGCGACCTTCTGAAGCCGAGCTCGTGCTCCACGACACTCATGAGGGCCTGTGCGGTGGACACTTCGGGGGCAGGGCTCTCACCCAGAAAGCGCTACGATAGGGATACTACTAGCCAACAATGAAGGCAAATGAGATCGAGCTCGTCAGAAGATGTGACAAGTGTCAGAAGCACGCCAACATCCACCACCAGCCTGCCGCCGACCTGAAGTATCTCACCAACCCGTGGCCTTTCGCACAGTGGGGGATTGATATACTTGGATCATTTCCGCCAGTGATAGGGCAGAGGAGGTTCTTAGTGGTGGTAGTTGATTATTTCACTAAGTGGGTAGAAGCTGAACCTCTCACAATGATCACAATGCGGAATGTGCAGAACTTTTTTTCGAAGAGTATAGTGTGCCATTTCGGACTACCCCAAGTACTAATCTTTGACAACGGTAAGCAGTTTGAGGATATTAAATTCCAGAACTGGTGTAAAGATATGGGGATTCAACAAAATTTCACCTCGGTAGCACACCCTCAAGCAAACGGTTAGGCGGAGGCCACGAACAGACTCATTCTCCACGGATTGAAGGCACGTCTCGATCGAGCTAAGGGACTCTGGGTAGACGAGCTACCCAGTGTACTATGGGCTTATCGGACCACGGTAAAGACCACAACAGGCAAGACTCCCTTCAACCTCACTTATGGCACTGAAACAGTCATCCCAGCCGAGATCGAAGTTCTCACGCTACGTCTGAAAGTGTATGATGACAAGGCAAATGAAGATGAGCTACGCACCAACCTCGACCTTCTCGACGAAGTACGGGACCTCGCATACATTAGGACCGTGGCCTACCAGCAGAGAGTAGCTCGATACTATAACGCCAGGGTCAAGAAGCGGAACCTCCGCGTCAATGACCTGGTCCTTCGTAATGTTATGGTAACTGAGCCCGGTGTTGGTAAACTCGGGCCAAATTGGGAAAGACCCTACTGAGTAAAGCAGGTGCCCGGGGAAGGAATGTATGAGCTCGAAACCCTAGAAGGGAAACAAGTACCTTGGGCATGGAATATTGTCAACTTAAGGCAGTATTACCTGTAATCACCAAGCTAAGTGGACTGTAGTCGCTCCCAAAGCGTAAGGGCCAATACGCCGAGATAACAAAAGACCTCGGCACTATAAGACCCAGTCGCCTCTTCGGCATGGGTGAACTCCAGAAGAGGGGTGGACTATAGTCGCTCCCAGAGCCTAAGGGCCAAAATGCCAAGCTAACGAAGACCTCGGCACTGTAAGACCCAATCGCCTCTATGGCATGGGCTAGCTCTAAGAGAGTGGACCATAAGTCACTCCCCCGGCCTAAAAGCTAAAACGCCGAGCTAACGAAGACCTCGGCACCGTATAAGGCCTAATCGCTTCATCGGCATAGGCTATGTATTAATACCAAAGGCACAGGTAGCTCGGGTGTGAATCCTATGATGCATAGCCCGCCCCGATATACAAGTTGGACCTGCTAGAGACAACCGAGTTCAACTTAAGTAACCTAGGTGCATACAGGACGGGCATATGCTCACTGTGTTGTTCACCTCGGTGTACATTATAAAATCCCCCCTACTAACTACGGGGAGATAGCTTGGAGTAATGATAGTTGAGAAACTGCACTTCGTGTGCTTAGATCTAGCAAGTCAAGTGAAATAGTCACTTCGGCAAAAGAGTAAATAGCACAACACTTAATAGAAAAAAGGAACATTTTCATTACTAAAAAAGAAATCGGGCCTAACTGCCCGAGAGAGTACATAAATAAAGTAGAAAGAAAAGAGAGAGAATTGGGCTCAGCCTCCCGGGAGCAACCACTTCAAGAGAATCATTTTTCAGAACAAAAAAAGAGAGCAACTAGCCTCAAGGCCCCACCTCCTCTACGTCCTCGTCACTCTCCTCCAGGGAGTTGGGATCCTCCTCCTCCGTAGCGTCCGCCGTCTCTGGGGGAAGGTCCCTCATTGTTACGCCCTCAAGGTTAAGGCCGGAGAACTTCTTCCGGACCAGCCACCGACAAAGCTTGAACCCCAAGCGGTAGGACTTAGAGCCGTATTCGACCTGGAGGTCGTGGAACTACTGGGACTCTTTGAAGTCCTCCACCGCCTTAGCTCGCTCTGCCTCCACCGCAGCGTTGAAGTTGCGGGTCCTCTCATGGAGCGTGGACTCTGAGCTCTAGACCTACTGGCGAAGAAGCTCCCTCTCTGCCGCCACCCTCGAAGACTCATCCTTATAATGGGCGCTCTCCTTAGACAGTCGGGAGATCTGTGCTTCCTGGTCCCTAACGAGCAGCTCCTGGGCCTCGCTCCCCTTCTGAGCCTGGAGAAATTCCTCCCGGGCTTGGTCGAGCTCGCGTTGGAGGCTTTGCACGTTTGACCTTTGATTGACGGCGTCCTAAGAGTGAATAGCAGTCTGGCAGGCCATGGCGTGGATGGCGGAGTTCAACTGCCAATAGAAAGCCAAAGTAAGTAAGGAGGAAGAGAGAAAAGAGAAGGGAGGGAGAAAAAGGGAAGAAGCAGGCACTTACCACCATGCAGTGAGTCGAGGCCAGCTTGGCGAACTCCCTATGGTGCATCCCGGCCCAGCTCGCGACCTCATCATGAGTGATCACCCGCCGGCTCCTCCGCGAGGCCACGAGGAAGTTGATGACGCTTTCGTCCCTCCCCTCAGTAGGAAACTACGGGAAGACAGTGGGGTCGGACTGCGCGGTTGAAGGGTGCTGCTCCTGGGGTGGGACCTCTTCTTCTTCGCTGCCTCCCGCGGCTACTCCCTCAAAGGGCACAGGTGGGACCTCCGGTGGTGGAACAAAAGCAGGGTCTACAACCTCGATCTCGACGGCCCCAAAAGTGGACGCCTAGTCGGGGCGTGGTCGGGGCGCGACCTCTTCGCCCTGCGCTTCTGGTTGCTCGACAAAAGGTAACGTGCATCCACACCAGACATGTTGGCTGCAAGAATCACAAGGCATTAGTCCAGCTCGAAAAAAAAAAAAAAAGAAAAGGCAACCTAAGGGTGACCTACCGGGGCTCAAGCCGGCATGCACGAGCTTGTCCAAAGCCAAGTAGTCCCAACAGAGGAAGCCTACCCTCGCCCAAGACTGCAGCGTTTCCCGAACTTTCGGGTTTAGCTCAACGCCCGGATCCTGAATGGCGGCCCTCCAATTGGTCAGAAAGGGTCACCCCTCGGGGTTGCGAACTACAAAATAACCTCGCTTCCAGGTTGGGATACTGTTTGGCAGATCGTGGAGGAGCTTGAAGCCAAGACGAGGGGAAAAGTAATACGAGCGCCTCTCTGGAGGGGCTCCGGGGGAGGCATTCTTAATTGAAATGATAGTGGCAAAGATGTTAAGGGAAAGAGGAAGACAGTACTCGAAAAATAGAGAAATTGTCCCAACCACATTCCAGATTGAATTCGGATGGAGTTGGTCTATGGTGACATTAAAATGGGTGAGAACCTCCACTATCAAAGGATGTAGAGGGAGTCGGAGACCAGCCACGAGCTACTCCTCGAAGACCACGATCTCGTTGTAGCCGTGTCCCCATGGATAGTTACCGGATGGGAGGCTGTAGATGAGATCCCTGGGAAGGTTATAGTAAGAGACTAGGGTCCGAAGCCTCTCCATTGACATGGAGGAAGGGCCGAAACTATCAGGCTCCCGACCCCAGGAAGTGGAAGCCGAGTTACCGAAGGCCTCATGGACTTCCGGAGCCTGCCCTTCAAGGAACCCCCAAGCTCCCCCGAGCTCGAGGGGACCTCGCCTTGATTACCATCTCGGGAAAAGCCACCATAGTACGGATACCTAGACATTGTTTGGACAAAATAGAGGACTCACCAGAAAAGTGAACTGAGAAAGCGACGAAAACGGAGGAAGCTCGAGCAAACAAGGCGAAGGCGCGACCTCAAATTGATAGCAAGGCAAGTTGGCATAAAGAAAATGAGGCATGTGGCCCTCCTATTTATAGCCACTGTGCCCAAAAAACCAACGGTCTCTATCAAAGCGGATCCAACGGCTTGTAATAAAGTCGGTTGCATGTCCTCTGAGACTGAAATAAAGCTGACTGCACGTCTTTCGAAACTAAAGGCAGTTTGGCATGTTTTTTGGCACCCAAGAAATCCAGAAGTCGCCTGACATCTGCGTGTATACATCATGCGATCAGTCAACCTAGTTTAAATTATGGGTCAAATCCACCCATCGCTTCATGAACTCCCTGAGCTAGGGTAAGACCCTTAGCCCGAGGAGTGGGGGGCAATTGATAGAGGGTGATTTGACCTAACCTCCTAACTAAGGGGCACATGGATATGACTCGACGTAACTGACAGCTCAGTGTGACAGCCTGGCCACAACTCGGCGTAATGAGCTTGCTGAAACTCCAGCATAACAGCTCGCCATGAGACAGCTCACTACAAAACGGCTTGCTGCAAGGTAGCAAGCTCCCCCCGAGCTCGAGGGGACCTCGCCCTGATTACCATCTCGGGAAAAGCCACCGTAGTACGGATACCCAGACATTGTCTGGACAAAATAGAGGACTCACCAGAAAAGTGAACTGAGAAAGCAACGAAAACGGAGGGAGCTCGAGCAAACAAGGCGAAGGCGTGACCTCAAATTGATAGCAAGGCAAGTTGGCGTAAAGAAAATGAGGCCTGGGGCCCTCCTATTTATATCCACTATGCCCAAAAAACCAACGGTCTCTATCAAAGCGGATCCAATAGATCGCCACGAGATAGCTCGCTACAGAACGGCTTGCTACAAGGCAGCTCGCTATTAGAGCTCGCTATGAGGGAGCTTGCTACTGAGTAACCCGGAGCCTTCGGGAAACTTCTTATCCGACAAGACCGTGCTTGTCAGACTGCTCCCACGTCTCTTGTCCGACGGCGCAGCACCTGCCAGTCTAGAGAACTACGCCCACGTCTCACGTCAGGCGGCATCGTCGCCCACGCCAGCTTTGCACAACGTCTCTCAGGTGACAGGACCGTACCCTGCAACAGATGCCTACGCCAATCAAATCAGCCTGATGAATAACGACTATAACAGAGAATCAAAGGCGGTTACACCTGATTTGGCAGCGCATTAATATATAAGGGCTCCAACCCCAAAGAAAAAAGGTAATTGAATTTTTGGTAACCGAGTAGTGTGCATCTCCACTCTTAGCTCGTCATTACTCTTTAAGTTTTTCGCTAAGTTCTAACTTAAGCATCGAAGTGTTCCCGTCGGGCGAACTCCCCGAAAATCCTTCATCTTCTCCTTCTCAAGTGTTGTACGTTGCCAGATAGGAACGAAGCCCCTGCCAGATAGGAATGAGCAGATCTACATCAGCTACCATATTCTGACATGTAGACAACTCTCGGCATCCAAGAGCGACCGGGATTCTTCGCCTTCGCCATGTTGACGACATTCTACACCTGCGGAGAAGCGATGCCAGTGTTCCTGCATGAGACAGCTTATAACGCATATCGTCCTCAATCTCAGTCTCTAGAAAAACAGGGGGTAGAGGGGATGATCTTATCTACCGCTCTGAGGGGACGGTGACGATACGGAGGGAGAGAGAAAAACAAGGGGATTAAGGGATGAAAAGAAAGAAAAATCTGGATACGTGTCTGTCATGCAATAGGTATACGTACGAACTGCTTGAGACAAAAAGGAAAAATGGTGAATGAGGCACACATTTGTGAGAGACGGGGAGAGATGTTCACAGTGTTGAACATTAAGATTCCATTTAGCGAAAAGGGCTACTATAGAATAAAGAAAAAATCTCGAAAAAAAGTCTTAACAATATAGAATAAAGAAAAAATAATTTATATATAAAGAGGTGTTAATAAAGAAGATTATTTATTGGAAAAAGAAAAAACTGCATCCTATTTCTTCTCATTTTCCTCAGAATCAGAACCATAAGTGGCCGACTTCAGCTCCCTATAAGAACCCCTGCAACTTCAGCGGAGCACTGGAATCGAATGGGCTGGTGCGGGAGCGATCGACGAGGGAGTACCATAGATAAAACAGGAACAAGACGAGACCAATAAAGTACAAAACTGAAGCCGAGATGGTAAGAGCCAGGAACAAAATAATCTGATCCAAACTCCTCAAGGTTTCTATAAGGACTTACCCTCAGGTTCTTCCTGCGAGAAGGAGAGGATAAGAGGAAGCCTCAGCTGCAAAAAACAAAGATGCACGAAGTATGAACAAGTGTGTTACATGCAATAAAGTAGAATCAATAAGTGTGTAGACACGCGTCATACTGCAAATGGAGAAAAAAGTGGTCAGAGGAGAGAGAAACTTGTCTCTCATGCAACAGGGAGAAGTTTAAGTTTAAAAAAATAAACAGTATTAAATAATAAGATTTAATGTATAAATTTGAGATTCACTAACTATAATAAATTATATTTTGGGAAAGGGGAAGCTAGGCCTGAGGCAACGAGCGAGAGAACTACAGCGCGCGCGAGTTGCAAGCTGAAAAACTACAGCGCGCGCTAGCAGCAGGCAAGAAAACGGCTGCGCGCTAACGCGCAACGGCTTTCGCGCCAGTGCTCAATATCCTTTCGCTTTATGAGATGTCCTATGGCTCTTTCATATTCAATTTTACATAATGAGACAACCCCCCGGGCCCCCACCCCCAATAAGGGTGTCAATGGACCAACCCACGTGAAGCATGTCTATATCAAAAAGTGACCATCGTGCAGCATGCCTATATCAAAAAATGGCCGTCGTGCAGCATGCCTATATC